AAAAAATTCTACCTCGCCTTCTTCCCACTAGAGGTTGCCTGTCTGCTGCATCTCTCTGCTCAAGAATCCTCTGCTCCTTTTTCTGGGTTTCTGGGGACAAAGCTGTGCCGTTCCCAGGGCACAGGGAAGCATTTCCTCCCGCTGTGAAGTGCTGCGTACTGCTACACTAAGAACTTGCCTTCCGTCAAGTACAAATCCGGCGGCCAGGGGGGTTTCACCGGGGGGAGCCCCACTCGCAGCACGGCAACGTCACGTCTCACAGAGAGCTCTTGGAATATCCGCCGGCCTGCCTCCGCCGCCCGCACGAGGACAAGAGGAGCCCAGGTCGCTTTTCTGGGAGACGGCCGTTGCCGCGGAAACCACACCGGGGGGAAAGGGAGTGTCGCGGGGGGTGGGGGGGGTACCGGCGCCTCGGGGGGCAGCCGGGGGAGAGAGCCGCCCCGCAGTCCCAATGTTGGATTGCTCGCCAATACAGAATAACTGAAGATTCGACCAATGAAGCTGGACTGGAGCAGGCACACTGGCCTTGTGGGGGTGCTGCAGCTCCCCCAGAATTGTCAAGCCCCCCCGAGACCAGGAACCCCTCACCTGGTACATCCCCACCCCCAACAGATCACAACATCTCGAGAAGCCCCTGGACGGCCATATAAACATCTGTCCTCCTAGAAGAAGCTTCTCCAAGTTTATCGCTTCCCGTCCTCGACTCATAGTTTATTTAAGATCCTCAAGGGCGCTGACAAAGTCAACCTTTCCAGTGGACCTTTTCCGCATCAGCAGTGAAAGACGCACCGGGGGGCCACTAGTGGGAGCTTCAGGGAAGTGAATTTAGAGACGCCGATTTGCGCGGAGGGCTGCAGGAGCGATTGAAGAAACTGGCCGCCATTGTTGGCTTCATCCACGAGACCCCATTAGCCACCGGCAGCCACCAGAGCAAGCTAGACGGGGTGAAAGGTTAGAAACGAGGCGAGGCCACTGCGGTGTCTCAACCCCGAGGCGACGTGCGATACACAGCGCTGCGCGCTGGAGAAGATGAATTATATTGTCCGACAGACTGCCAAGTGGAGATGAATTACAGGCTGTCAAAGAGAAAGAACGTCGCCCATCTCGGTAGAACAAACCCCCCATGGCCCCCCTGTGCTACTCTGTAGATCCCCTACAAATTACACTGCTATTAGGTCAAAGGGCAAACCAGAGAGTGACTCCTTCCCTGCTACATATTTCCTAAACCTATTAGCCCAGCCCTGAAGTGGTCTCCTGCTGTCTCCTGTGCAACTGCATGACAGCAACTTCATCAAATGCAAAGCAATTCCCCAACATGCAGAGAGAACCACAAAATGAGTATGGAAGACATGCCGGCTGTGGGCGAGCTCTTAATGGAGCAACTGGGAGAGCGTTTTAGATTTTAGACTAA